TCAGTAAGTTAATTGTCTGAGAAAGCCTGTTAGGGTAATCTTGAATTCTTCTATTTAATTTATTACCTTGAAATGTTAAGCTTATTAGTTGTGCTGATACTTTAGCAACTCAATATTTTATTGATTGAGTTGTTAAAATATCAACACAACAATTTAAGTATTGTTGTATGGTTGTACTGATACTTTAGCAACTCATTCGTCAATACTGAGTAGCTAAAGTATCAGCATATCTATACAACAATATTTAAATGTAAGCAGTAAAATGCATAAGTATGCAGAATGAAGTAAGCTAAGTAAACAATTTTATAGTGCTAACTTAATTTTGATAGTAAGCACTGATGTAAACAGATCATGTTTGCAAACACGCCTTTAAAGAACATCATCTACATCACGCCTTTATCATCTTCATCACGCCTTTATCTATTGCAATATGTAATGTCCTGAAACATATTATCTTCATTACACCTTTATCTACTGCAATATGTAATATCCTGAAACATGATGCCCGTTCGCATTACAATAAATAATGCCATGAAACTTGCATGTGTACTACAATATTAACTAAATTAAAAATTTTTTTCATCCCTAAATTTTGCTGCTCGGTGTTTTCCTAAAATCTAAAAATTTTCCGCGCCTTTTAATTCTGCTGCTCAGTGCAGCCACTCCTGCTGAGACGTCAGCTCTGGTTTCATTGAGTATCACTTTAAAGCTTACAATTTTTAAAAATTCTTGTAACATGTTTATTATTCTAGTATTTTTGATAGTGTATATTTCTATGTGTATAACATTAATATTAATTTTATATTGTTAAAATTCTGTCATTAAAACATTTATTGCATATATAACTTTCAATACAATACTGATATGCTTCGGTTAAAACAAATCTCCATTGAATGTTAAGGGGCATTAAATCATTAAAATTCTGAAATTTATTTTGATGATTCTGTTCAATTTGCTGTGTTGTGTATATTCAATTCTAAAATAAAAAGAAAGGAACTTTGAATAAGTACCTTGAATTTATATATTGGCTTCAAACTGCCAAACCAGATTTAAGTGAAGAGTTGCTAATTGATGTCTTATTGATCAATTATTTTTATTCTTCATATCAGATATTGTATAAAGACATAAATTCCAGTTTTATTTTTTATACATGTTGAAAGTATTTCTGTTTTCTTGTCTAATTCGGTAGCGGTATTAAAAATACAAACAAGGCATAGATTTTTGGTGACACAGCAGTATGTGCAGTAACCCCAAAATAACAAGCAAAATTCTCCTCAGTAGGGGGCTTATTAGTGCAGTTGCTCCTGTTGAAAATGCTGGGGGAAAGAAAACCTAATGCGAGCGTATATATGCTTGCTGGGCGCTTAGAAGGAGATTTTGGGTGGACGTATATATGCTTGTTGGCCGCTTAGAGGGTTAAGGACCGAAGACGGAGAGTTACCAAATTCCTTGTGGTGGAAAGAAGGTGAATTTGCCAAGTTTAAGATTTATGCACACTTCCTAGTGTTTTTTGGCATCTCTTCCAAACTTTTTCTTCTGAATGCCACTATAAAATATCATTTAGGATTGGTGGAATTCCAGACCTAAAACCTTCAAAATATAACTAATAAATTCAGAGAAGAATTTTGTGTTGACTTAGTCACGAGTATTAATGAATTGAAATCTCAAACTATACAAGCAGTGAATGAAGCATCATTTGAACTGAGATGTTGGGCTCACACAGAGGGTTTGAATACCGGGAAAGTCAGAGTATACTTAGTTGTAACTGGGATACAGATACTGATAAACTTTACTGCAAGTTGCCATCCAGTTTGCAATTACGTTGTCAAAGATGGGTTAAACATTTAGATCTTGTTGAGAAATGTAGAATTCCTTGGAGGACATTGAATGGAACTTTCAAAACAGCTAGCTTACACATATTTACTGATGCTTCATCTCTAGTGTATGCTTGCTCTGCTTTTCTATGCTGTGAAGTAAGGAGAGCAGTAAAGTCTCAACGATTTTGGCAAATGCTCTACAATAGCATCTGTTAAGAGGCTGAAAATTCCATTAATGGAGCTCTTAAGAGCTGCAATGGAAGCTAGAGGTGGGTTTACATTATTTAAGTTTGTTTAAATTTTCTTTGAGGACATACTTTTGGACCAAGATGATAGTTTTGGGATGGGCTACAAGCACAGAGCCACACCATCATTGGAAATCAAGTGAAAGAAATCTTAGAACTAAACAATATAGATGACTGGAGACACATTCCAGGTCAACCAAGGAAACATGACTACCCATACTTGTGACTGGTCAGACCTTCTGCAGAGTCAGTGGTGGGAGGATCCAACCTGGTTGTATGCAGGGGAAGAGCCTTGGCCAATATGGGTATTATCTGTTCCAAAGGAAGCACTTTTGAGTGATGCAAGACAGTTGTCAGAAATCTAGTCACTGAGAAGAAAAAGTTAGCAAAAGATTTTTGTATTGTTCAAGCTGGGAAAAAAAAAAAAAAAAAAAAAAAAAAAAAATTCTTCACATAGCTGCTCATGTTTTGAGATTTTGTAACAAGATCAAGGAAAAGTTTAAAAAATTGAAAGATTATATTTCATTTGAAGCGATTAAAAGGGCAGAAATCACTCTTGATAAAAATCATCCAGTCTGAATGGCCTTCAGAAATACAATAATTATGATACAGATTTACATTGAAAATGGAATTCTGAAGGTTTAGACTATCTTCAGTCTCAGACAAGATCAAATAATTTTACACCTGTTATAGATTTATCAGACTATCCTATTCTAGAGAGATTGCTACTGGATGCCTATAGCTGTTTGATGCACACTGGAGTATTAAGAATGCTAACACAATTAGGAAGGATGGAGAGATGTTAGAAAGGTATTACAGCAATGTATATGATGCAAGAAAGTGAATTCCAGAAGTGTTAACCCAGACTCAGCTCCTGTGTCTCCTGACAGAATACAAGTTGTGGTATTTTAAGTAACTGGTGTGGATCTGAGTAGGCCTATTTTTCCATGTGGAGGAAGCAAAGCATGGATAGTACTTTTCACATGCAAGCATGGGCTGTCTCTAGAACAGTTCATCCGGAGCTAATTTCCTCTGTCCACTGAAGCATTTATGTAAGCATTACGGAATTTTTGGGAAAGGAGATTTAAGATATTTTACTCTTTATACTGCTAATGGCACGAACTTTACAGGAGCAGCAAATGCTTTGAAATCTCTAAACTGGGATTTCATTCAGGAGGAATGTCCTTTAATGCAAATGAAATGAATATTCAGCCCCAATCTGCATCTTGGTATGGCGGATTTTGGAAAAGAATGATTCATTGTGTCAGGGACATCCTTCAGAAGTGTTTGGGAAAATCATGTCTCACATATGAAATGTTGACTTTGTTTACACGAAGTTGTTCCGTTAAATTTTATCTTGCTTAAATAAGACAAATATTTATGTTATCTTAAAATTTAAGAAACCACTTTTGTAAAAGTTGCGAAATCTAAATTTTTCCAGTCCATATAGTTATCTTTAATAAAAGTTTGTATCCATTCTAAAAAAAAAAAAAACATAAAGTATGACTCCTGTATGAAAAAATTGACTGAGATATTTAATTTTTAAATTGTAGATCATGTTTCTTAAAAATTCGTAAATTGTACAAAAAATTGAAGAACAAAATATTTAAGTTTGTTCATAACTATACATAAAATAGCCTAGAAGTAGTTTTCAACATCGTACAGAATTAATTTCTAGAAAATAGTGGCAGGCTTCAGTATTGGTATGCAGTCAACTCATAAAATCATTTGCATGAATTAGCTGCTTTTTGCATAATTTTGATTCATAGATCCATTTCTGCTATATCTACTCTGTAAGAATTTCCTCAGGCAGGTGAGAGGTGGTAATACCTGTTCAGAATGCATCAGAAGAGGACCACCAATTCTGGTATGTCATGCATGAAAATATCAAATTTTTACAGTAAAGAAAACGACTAGTTTTTAAATTTGGATCAGACATCAATTGTTATTGAGAAAAAAATTTTTTAAAAAAGGGAAGAAGATAAATACCAAAAATGAAAAATAGTTTAATGAATTTTTTGTACGATGAGTAGGTTATGATTCAAAAATAAGACTGCATGATATTAATGATATTTTTCTAGCATTTGGGAACTTAAAAATTCCTTGTGTGAAAATGCTTTTGGCATGCTAAATCTAACAACATAATTTTTTTTAGCTTATACAATACTTCAAGGGAAGGGAAATTCTAAAAAATATCTGAAACCTTGAAATTAAATAATCCAATCAATTTTTGTTGTACTTCAATGCAACATCTTTCATTTTACATGTTCATGTAAGGATAAACTGTCACTAAATGTAGCTATATAGTTCTATGTAAAAAGGTAATTTTTACTAAACTGTTTCTTATTATTTAAAAATAGCATAACATGAATATTTGTTTCATTTAAAACATTTTTGTAAAGTTGTATAAGGAGTTTTATGGGCATGCTATATAGTAAAATGTGTTAAGATGCTTCCATTGTAGAATTTTACGTAGTGCTGCTTTTATCAAGTGATTAGTTCTTCCATCTGTATGTTACATACATTTTTACTAATTTATTACATTATTTATTATATTTTTACTAACTTTATGTGTTATCATATGGTATAATGATATTGTCTTCATGTTATTCTGATTTTAGTACTAGACTGCAAATGAGTATAGAAATTTTAAAAATCCAAATGGGCAGTTTGCAATCTTATTATAAGCTTTAAATTTCTGCATTATAAGAATTTCTAGTTTATGCTTTGTTCTTTATAGAAAATAATTTGTATACTAACAATATTTTTATTACTCTAATAATTTTTATGAACAGTTTAAAATCTATGTGTATTTATTTTATATATTAAAAATTCCATTTACAATTATATGATGTCTGAAATACATATTTTAATGATTTTTCTCCGATTTCAAAACGTAAGTGATAATTTTGTATTTCTGTTCTTTTGTATGTTTTAGCTTGGAATTCCAGTGCAGGAGACAGTTATTCACAAATTGCAGTTATCACAAGTTGAAAAAGTTTTCTACGAGACTCAACGAGAAAAATGCAGAAATGATTTTCTGGAAAATATTAAAAAATATCATTGTGTAGCACATGCTCAACTGAGTAAGATGGATAGGTATATTGTTACTAAGGTAAGAAAAGAATTATTTTAAATTATGTAATTGCATATATGGATGCTAGGAAAGTTATATTTCTGTAAATATTGAATTGAATGTAAGTAATTAAATGGCAGTTCACATTGCTGTCTATTGTTGAATTGAGAAAGACTTGTCACATAGCTTCAATAAAAGCTGCTGCTCTGTATTTACAAGTATATTTATTTCAGGTCGACACAGTGTCATTTAATGGAAATATGGACTGCAGTTGTTTGGCAGTTTTTCTTCCAAACATGCAGTGTGAACTGTAGTTGGCAGAATTAGTACTTCCTCATACTTTCTGCATCTAGCTATTTGATAAACAACTTCGTAAAAAGCTAAATTTTTTTTTTTTTCATTTTCAGAAACGTGCTCATCTACATATATTATGGAACGTGCACTGTTGAATATAAGATAATGTTCAGCAACATACTTTATGAATATATCAATTCAGGATTCTTAATGTGCTCAATATGAAATGCTTTCGAATGTTGTTTAAGTTTGCTAGGTTTAATGATGTCACTTTTCAGGTTTTTTGAACAAATAATACACAGAAGCATTGAATAAAAATTTAAGCATTATTCAAATATTCAGAATTCTTCAGAATATTTTCTTGATTTGCTCTGCTCTTCTGCATCCTTGTTGATACTTCACATTTGTCTGATGTTTATTCATGTCAAATTCATAATCATATATTTGAAAATTTTTGTACCTTAAATTGGAGTTGCTATGCACATTACAGAATGCACTATCAAGTTATGAG